AGGTGATTATCAAGTACTATTCACCTCCGAGCAGCCGGCGCGAGAGATTTTAAAATTTCCGACCGCTTATCATACATAAAATAACGTTTTGGTCCGCTAATTATTCAGCTTGTGTGGTATATACTAAAACAGTTATTCACCTCAGTGTCGATGAAAGTGATGGATATTTACCTCCACTTCGGTGAATAATTGTTAATTATTCCTGTCGTATGCTGCGCGTATGTCGCATTGATTGTGTCTGGCCACTGTATTTTCCATGGCGTGGTATAAAATAAGTATCCAACGCTCTCTCGTGATATACCATGGAACATCCCACTTGTCACTTGTCTTTTATTGCTATACACACTCGCCCAAAGGCTCCAATGTATACTAAGAAATTGCGTAAGTAGTACATGTATGAAGCAGGTAAAAGAAAACCCACAAGTAAAATATTGTAATGCGATTACCTTGAATTCGCACATAAAACCTTGGTTGTCAAAAGGAAAACTAACATGCCGTAAAAAGATGAAAAACATGACCAAAATCAAATACAAACTTTTTATGCAAACCAACAGCATCAAACTGCCTTGTCCGGGACGTGACTCCTGATTATACGCAGTACACATGGAGTTGTGAAACCGCTTTGAGTTTTGCCTCCTGCCCATCAAGTTCTGCTCTCAGTGAACGAAAGGGTGTGACATATTCCATTGTACATTTAGCACTTTCAATATTATTGTGAAGGAAAGTTAGTTTACACATAGATCTTACCTTGTCTAATTCTTCTTCACTGTTTGTGAAAATCTCGCTTGTTTCGTGTCTTTTCTTTAAGCTTGGTCTCCGCCTGTTCTTGGGAGGAGGAGCTCGGTCCCGGGTGAGAGAGCCAAGAACCTCAGAATTCCTCTTTACCCTGAACAGTGAGTCCCCTGTACTTGTACTTATTATCTCCTCGTACAAATTTTCATCGTCCTGAATTAAACACACAAATGAAATGCAAAAATCTTGCGGTATTCTTAAATGAGGAAAAGAGGCAGGGGAAGGAAGCAGAGGGTCGTAAAAACAACAACGATACTAAAACAGTTCTGACAAAACAGCAATTTTCTCAAAGTGGTGGAATTGACAGTCTGCAAACAAAATTACGTTTTATGGTACAAACCCGTGACAATTTCCTATAAATATTTAGCTAAAGCTGCAGCAGAAAGTGGCGAGTTAACATCAAATTTGTATTGCTCGCCTGTTTTCAGTTTCAGCAATTATTCAGGTAATCCTAAATTACACAACACACAATCATTTGGTGTAAAAACTGACCTTGAATCCTTCAAATTGCTCGTGTGAATCTCTCGTATGAGGATAAGTTGAGCTCAAGATGTGGTTACTGTTCTTGTCCTTTGAAAGCAAAGTGAATGGAACTTTTCAGAACCAAGACTAAAACTCTAACCAACACACAATGTCAAAACATGTTTTACCCAATCATCCAGTTGGGGGTGGAAGCTCTATCTGATATTACATACATACATACATACATACATACTTTATTGTTGCCTCCCCAATGGGGCTTTTCAGGAACAATTACTAAAATTACTAAGTTACTAATAACTACACAATCAAAATTAATCAAATTGAAAAAACATTTACAACATGTTACATAACATGCAATAATGCAAAGATTTATATTGCAAAATTTGTACATGACTGTGTGCAACTACTTGGCAAACAATACCAATAAATAATAAAAAAAATTAAATAAAGACGTTAAAAATCTGTTAATTATCCAATAAAGAAGCCAACGCAATGAATTATACTGCCATAAAACATGACTGTCATGAAAGAAACCAAGTGTTCTCAAACCACTGTTGAGTTGACAGTTATTGTTGACAGTGTACACTTTAGTATAGGTTAAGTCTGCATACGAGCCAAGTGGCTCATCAGGCCAGAGTTTATCCCAGTTTCCACAGCATGAAGCAACTAGGGGTATTCTACTCCCCCCTGGATGGGATGCTAGTCCATCGCAGGGTTACCTTCAGCATTAAATTTGCTGGTACTCATTTATACACCTGGGTGGAGAGAGGCACTGTGATAGTTAAGTGTCTTGCCCAAGAACACAACACAATGTCCCTGGCCAGGGCTCAAGCGCGGACCCTCAATCCGGAGATGAGCACACTAACCATGAGGCCACCATGTCTCCACACACACTTTTGTATGCATTATGATAACGACTTATCTTATGTAAAAAAATAAAAGAAGCTTTTCTATGTTTTGTACTCTGAGCACAAAAAGAATTCAGTATATTATAGACATAGAAAACTTCAAGAGCTTTTTAACCAATCAATCAATCAATCAAGCAATCAATCAATCAAGCAATCAAGCAATCAATCAACCAATCACTTAATCAATCCGTACATCCAGACATCAATCAATCTAGCCCTCAATCAATNAGGTGCATATTGTAACATGCATCAAACTTCTTGCATTACAGCCAGCTGTAGGGGGGAGACATACCTTCATCACCAGATTCCTGTGAGTGTGGGCTGTTTTCATCTGTAGATGTCAGGTCAGGTCCAAACAAGTGCTCTTTGATAGTTTCATTGATTGCTTTCTGCACAATCCTACAGGAATAATCAAAATAAAATGTAATACATGTAAGTGTTCCATTAGCCACTCATTATGTCAATCCAGTATCTTTGAGTTTACTAGTGGATTAATTGATCTCCTTGGAAATATACTGATGCATTGCCTCGTAAGCACACACAACAGAAAAATGAACAAACAATTTTCTAATGGATTTGAAAATTTTTCAAACAATACATGTTACCTTGTGTGAGGTGGGATGGCCAAATGTTTAGTGTGCTGGACTCTCAATTGCACAGTCTCAGTTGGAGTCCCAGCAGGGGCCAGGTCACTGACCTGTTTTCCTGGGCAAAAAACCTTACTCTCATGGTGCCTCTCTAGAACACAGGTGTATTAAATCCAATGCTGGGGGTTACCTTGCAATAGACTAGTAATCCTATCCAGTGGGAGGGGAGGGGAGGGGGTGTAGGAATATGCCCTCTGTTCTTTTTAATCTTTAATTGAACTGTAAGTTTAACAAATCGAATGTGGTTTAGCGTGGTCTGTAATCTTATCGACAACAATATGCATCATCACAGTGGTCAAAATGTTATGGACTCACTTGGCTGTGCCTCGTGAGTCCACAACAAATTTTGACCACTGTGATGATGTGTATCATTGTCGATAAGAGTACAGACCATGCTAAATTACATTTCTATTTGTTTTTTACCACAATATCAATGTCAAAGAAAATGTTTTTTGTTCAGAGCGCGAGCTGAAAAAGGCATTGCGTAACACATTGATGTGAGCAGCATTGTCTGGACTCTTATCGACAACGGCAAATTAGACAATCAGATTGCGAGATAAGTAGCAATTGCAGTAAAATATGTAATGATTAATACTAAAATACACTGTACATGTACTCCCATAAAATACTTACTCCTTTCCAGCAGGTGGCTTGGGAGACTCTAGAGTGGGGCTTGAATCACTGTGAAGACGATATGACAGTCACATTTACATATTAAATCTACTGAATGCAGCACACACTTTTCTGGGTAAAATTCAATGTAGTACCATGTTTTTGAGAGGGGAAATAGGCCCAATACATGTAGTGAGAGTAATCAAAACTACAACAACACAGAAAGATCTGATTGGTCATGCACAAGCTTGATTTTAGCCCAAATAGGACAGTGCATGCATCATGCTTGTAGACAGTTTAGCTGGACAGCATGTATCATTCTATATTTTACACATGCTTTTTCTTGGACAGATGTAGTTGTCCTTTTCTTGTGCATCTTGGTCAAATTACATTCAACTGCTAAAATTTTAAGCCTTATTTGAATTTCACTGTAATAATTAACTGCGTGACCATGGGTTCTCCCTTTGCTCATGTTTTAACTCTTTTATCTTGGTGAACAGAAACAGGCTCCCACTAGGCCATCTTCTCAAATGAAACGTTTACAGCATTTGATGTTTTACACAGTAGAACTATCATGCACTTATGTGCAAAAAAGCCAGCTCTTTTCATGGTGATAGCCACAACGATTTTTAATAACAAATTATTCCTGTGGCACTATGTACTGCTCGAAGCTGTAACCTACATGTACATTTGCAATTGCGTAGATGTGTACATGTAAAGTCAACAAACATGGGCTGATGAAGTTTAAAATTGGGAAGTGAATTAGCTATAGGTATGACCTTTTAATTGCTTGGTTAAGACCATTTTCAGTAAATAGTGAGTTATTGGGTTGCAGTTTTCTGGCTAGAAAACTGTTTTCTACTGATTTCAGACAACTTGAACTTTGGCTAGGTATGGACAGAATTATTTATTGCTGGTTGAAAAGTCAACAAATGTAAAGGAATTAAATGGAAAAGCCAATGGAATACCATTCCCACGGTCAACATTTCACAAAGGGAAAGTATGAGCAGTTGTTTCTTCTGGTTTTGCCAGTAAATAGAGTTATTGTGTTGCTGCCATTTGACTACTGCTGCTTCATGGAACTGTTTCCTATCGATTCAGGATAATGCACTTTAAATTTCACGGTTTTCAAGGTTTTCAGCTTTCTTATAAGCTTCTTTGTTCATGGTCATCTTAAACATTTGCCACATTATCTTTCACACTTCCTGCTGTAAAAAGCCTGCTCTTTATTTAATTCTCAGTCTATACCATCAAATGGATCACTATGATGTCAAAATACATCCTCTAAATTCTGGCCAGAAGAGGCACAGGAAGATTTTGCCACTATTGTTTCCTTGGGATATACAAAAGCAGCAATATTTTTAAACACTAAATAAATATAAATTTAACTGGTTGGTGATAGTGTACTGAATTATGCATTATATGAAAGCTGCGAGCTTCTTAACAAGATCATAACATTAAGAGAAAATGGAATTTAAAAAAACAATCACTCAAATACTGACTCTTATGAATGTACATGTACTGTGGAAGGTGTCAATTTAGGTTGAAATGAATTATGTTTTTAAGGCTAGGAAAGAAAAATGTGCTGCGTTGCAGGCCTTGTGAAAGTTTAACCCTGAGATTTGAATAAAATAGATGTGCTGCAAAAACATCTATTTATAAAAGAAATGAGCCTTGTGGGATTAAAATTAAGATTATTCACCGCTTTGCTTAAAATTACCAAAGTCGTTAAACCTACTGAGCTGCTACACAAGTATAAGTATAAATAAGGGTTCATTTGGAGCTCAAAGTGTGAATAGAGTCTTAGCTTTCAACGATGTTTTACTTCTTGCTTACCAGTGAGCCACATTCAGAATTTAAGCTTCAAAATGTTTGAGATATATGAGCAAAGAACAGCAAAGAACAAACACAATATTACTGATCACGAAGGTTTAATTACTCAACAGCTGATGGCAGAGGAAGAATACAAAGTTGAAAGAGCGGTATATTCTCCACACAGAACACAACGAATTAAGCTCCTAGATAACTCCAGTAGATGCAGGTATTCATTTACATGTACACGCATGCATCCATTTTAAACAAATGTACATGAAATCTTCTAGAAGACATCTTTTGAAATTTACATTGTGCATACCTTTGATGAGTATTCCATGAAGGTGAAACAGACCTCATGTACATATCCAGGTCTTCTGTGGGTGACGAAATGCTAAAAGAAAAATTAAAAAACAAAAAAAAAAGGTTAGACAAAAATTAATGCAAATGAGAGCCCAGATAAACTTAGTTATAAATGCAATAATGATAAAATACAGAGCAATCAATAACCGACTAAAACAACACCTGCAGGATGTGTTGAATTTTCGTTTCTACATTATGTGATTTTAATTATTTATGAACGAAAATGGTGGTCAGATTATACAGCAAATACATAATTGCATTCCCACAAGAATCCACTACAACTGAGCAGAACAAGCTTGTGACTTGACAAAGACCATTTTCTGTGTACATACAGGCAATTCATTATATTTACATTCATTCATTAAGAAAATCAATTTCAGACTGGGGTGTGATACATGTACATAACCCCCGACAACTTCCAAACTCCATGCATTTTCTGGCAGAAATTCAAAACAATCCAATTTAATAATGGATCTTTGGTGCACAAACAATTCAAAACTCTCAGACATTATGGCTGCACTAAACCACCCACAATACACACAAACATTAACTGCAGTTTCTCCTGTCAGTGAATCAGCCCATCTGTCAGTTAGCTATCTACATAAATTAAAGTGCAACTTGCATTTAAAAAAGATATTAATAAAAACACTTCTCTGTTTTAGAGCTCAGAAACTAAAATTTATTTTGCATTTTAAAAGACTTAAAAACGTCAGATAATAATTATTATTGTAAGTAGCTGATTCAACAAGATCTTTATAAGTTCCAAAATGAACACAAATATTGGCTGTTTTGGTATTACATTTTGGGCTTATCTTAGTGGTTAAATGCTAAGATGTGAATAACACAACCAATCATTAAATTCTGGTCACATTCAAATGTGCAAATACTGTCAAAAGTTACATTAGCCATAAGTTCTCATGAAACAAGTTGATGCAAATCCAAGGAGAAACAAAGGATGACTGAATTGCATGTGGAGATACATATCAATTGTCACTTTGGTTCACAAACTCATTGTATTTTGTAAAACATACCTTGAATCAAACATACAATGCATTTGTGTCATAACCTCTCTAAGAGCTCACAAACAATGCCAGTGGCTACAATGAAGCTAGGAATGACTACTATAAGGCTTTAACAGGTGCATCATGATGTTCAATCAAGGTTTTTGATGTAGAACAGAAGACAACTCGCAACATTCTTAACACCGTAAACACTAAAATCACTTAGAAAGGAGATCAGAGTGACTGAAGGGGTAAAAATAAAATGCTCTGTCAGAGTTTGAAGCACATAAAACAAAGAGGGACATTTGCATCACAAATATTCAAATCACTGAAGCATAAAATAACACTTCAACACCTGCATGAAATAAATATTATTTATCATCTATTGCTAGTGTCAAATGCTATAACTGCATGCCCCACTGATTAAAACAATACTGTATTTTATTACTTTTTTTCAAGAAAGACCAGAGGAATATCTAGAAAAAGATAAATCAGAAGAAATCAATGAAAGAAAAATACTTTTGTCTACTACTACACAAGCAAAATGCACATTTCCCTACAGTTGTAATATATATTAATTAATATATTCAATGTCACTTAAAATTCTTAACAGAGCATAATATGTAAAGTGGTCAGTGGATCCATATTTAACTTTTTAATTTATGACCTGGTCATAAGTGATCAAACAGTGTCAATCTTAATACACTCTATCTCTTCCAAAATAATGAGAAGAGGTTGTATGGCTCAAAATGAGATCACGTGTTACCATTGCAAGTGCCTAAAGGTATTCCCTTAGACTGTTTTTGTAATGAAATTTATATAAATTACGAAATGCGTCAGAGAGGTTCAAAATATTTACCAATTATGCACACTGCTTACTAATCAGTTGCCATTAACAACAGCCACTGTTGTTAGGGGTTACATTGGAACGTGATGTAATTAGTGGTTTCTTTTCATTAGTGACAAAGAAAGCTAAGTTCTCAGACTTCTCCAGTTATTCTTAACTACTGTTTTCATTAAATTTCTTTACAACAATTAAATGTGCTCCAAAATTTGTCTAGCACATTAGAGCCCTGCAATGTAGAGGAAATTGAACATGGGAAACCAGTAATTCCTTGTTTGGGAACTTTTCTTTTGCTATTGCACTCTTTAATTATATTCATGGGTGCTGTTTTGTCTACAGCTGCTACTAAATAGCAGTCTTGTCTGATCTCTTGTATCAATATAGATAATACTTGCTAATTGTCATGAAACTTCATTTACATACACTGTGCAATTTTACAACTACCACACAGGTTGAAACGAAAATGAAATTGGAAATTTATTGATCTTTAATTGAATAGTAATATCACATAGTTCTGTCACAAAACCGATTTTGAATATTAAATACAGTATATCAGAGAATTTCTATTAATAACAAAAGCAATCTTTCATTTTAGAAACAAAGGGACTAGCCTACACATAAATGTAAGTGGAAAAAAAAATCTGAGGCAAACATCAAGAAAATACATTATATACACTATACCTCTCAGAATTTTTTTAAATGTAAGAAATCCAGAAGCTAAACTTACTGAGCAACAGGTTGTAACATTTTCTTTGGTTTCTTGACTGTGGCATAAGTAGGGCCATCTTCCTGTATTTTGTCCTTGTCTTCCTGTCCAGTTATTTGAAATGACTCCTCATCACTGGCTGAACTTTCATTCTTTTCATTACCAGCCTGTACAAAAACATGCACAAATCACCACCACAACATGAAAGTATTAAAACTAGTTAATGAGATATTTGTTCATTACCAGTCTGCTACTAATTAATAAGCTAAAGAATGCGTACTTTACTGTTGGAAAGATCAAGATTAAAATACAATTTGTCCAATTTTGGTGCAGTTTAATAGTCAGTGTTTTGACTTGTACCACCCCTCACCCCCGAAGAAATAAAAAATAAAAGATTGCTACACATGACAAATCAAATGCATTTGCCATTACTTTGTGAGAAAGATGGTAGCCTGGTAATGGTTACTGAGTGTGCCAAAATCCAGGTCGAGCAACCAGGTTCAAGCCCTAGGCAAGACAACTGTGTTATGCTCTATTGAACAAAACTCTTTAATCCATCTCACAGTGCCCCTCTTCATGTGTCNGGGGGGGGGGGGGTAGAAATACATGTACAGTATACTAGAAAATGTTAATTGGAAACTGGGATAAGCTCAGGCAAGATGGGACAATAATATTTGACTAGATGCGCCTACCTTTAATGTCAATAAGAATAAGATAATGGAATTGCGGTTTATACAAGGCAGAAAGATTACTCTCACAAGCCTTCTATTTGTATTTGCACCTTTTGAAGATGTTTCTTTCTTGCCAACAGTGTTGGAGAGTCATTTGCCCTGGAAAAGACAATAATGACATGATACATTGGTGCATGAGCAGAGTTTTCATTAACTATTGAGTCAGGAACTTCAAGGTGTTAATGATGCAATGCCTTGTTACAAGTATTTTGGTTTCTGGTATTAAGCTACATGTACTTACAGAGTGCATCAAGTGCTACAGTATTTACAACTTGGCAATCACACACCAGGGTCCTAAATAAAGCCTTTTCCGGCCTCCCTAGGGGCAGGCAAGGACATTTCCTGGAACCGCACAATACATCTACAGACAAAAGCTCAATCATTGCAGTCACGGAAAGTTGTTACAAGGCCTGAACTTTGTGAGTGAAGCTGAAGAGAAGCACGTTAATTCTATTTCTTATGATCAAAAACTCACTTGGCTTCCTGAACTCTGAATATGTCTGTGGTAGCATAAGGAGACACCTACAAAGGAAGCAGCCTTTAAATGTGATATGAATTGGGAAACATTGGTTACAAATATTGGTTGCCAAATTTAGACTATCCCAAGAACCACTCAGCATTTTAGGTTTCATTGTGGATTACAGTGTAGACTGCCATATATCTCTAGCAATATCAACATGGAAAAAAGTTGATACACATTTGAAAGCTTGCAATAATGTACATACTGTAAGATAGTTAATAGCCTTCATAATAACTTCACTAAACAGATACCATCTTCAAGGGGGTTTTGATATAATTTATTTTTTACTGTAATCATCTAAAACGACTGATTTGGAAGGAGTTCACAATGTGTTTTACAAATCCTTACCCTTGGCATAAATGTACATTTCCTTTTTGTCCACAATGTGATGTTATACATGTAGCATGTTTGAACTAGACCCTTATAAGTTCACAACAGTACAATATTTACACTGACGAGAAATTTTAAACACTTTTCAAACCTCAAATAAGGTGTCAAAATCTTCTATGAACGTGCAAACAATTGCATTGGTGTGTCCCTGTTCTCGAAGACCTTCAATTCCATCACCACATCTAGAACAAAGCAAAATTAATGCATTGGTAATCCTCAGATATTTGCCATGTACCCTTTCGTTGCACCCTTCCTATAATCAGACAGCTGGGTAACTATGCTCTTCCTCAGTCGGACATGTTCCCTGACATTTTGCTAGACTAGTTGAAAAAAAAAAAATTGAACCCCTCTCATAAATGCATTCAGCAACAATGAACATTAGTCTGCACCTGTTCAAATTTTAATTACATTCAATGGCTCCATAATTGTAACTAAAATATGTATGTGTGTGTGTTTGGTGGGGGGGAAGGAAGGGAATAGAGTATACATCTAGTGAAGGCGGTGTGGCCTAGTGGTTAGGGCACTGTATTTGTAGTCTGGAGGTCCTGAAGTCAAATCCTCTTCGATCCCTGCCACGAGATGGATTTGTGTTTGGTGGTCCCAGATTCAACTCCTCCACAGTTTGTAAATAGCCAACTGGTACAGTGTAAGCCTCCTGCCGGTTGGGATTTTAAATAAGTTTCTCTACTTTAATTTACAGTATCATTTTGTTTGCTTATTTCAGTGTCCGCAATTAGTACAGCAGTGCTTAACAATTGAACACTTATACAATAAACAGGATTTGTTTTATTTTATCATTTTACAACATCCTATGATGATTTAAAGAATAATTACATGCAATGAAAGAACTGTGGTTATCAATTCTTTCTTCTGCATTTGAACTCAACAAATATCGGGCTTTTACCTGAAAAAGTTTGGTCCAAATACTATAGCCAAAGCCATTGAACTCATTTTATTATTTTCTATAAAAGAACAAAACATACAATCAACTACATGTAGGTGACAGCACTGCAAAAGCAGAACCCACATAATTTTAATTATATCAGCAAGAAAAGAATGTGCATGTGGCATGTTACATGTTGCAAAAAAATTGCTACAGTGGTGTAGCTCTACTAAACACAGTAACTTTGGGACAAATGTTCATTAATGAAAACTATTTGAGTGAAATTTGAGTGAAATCACGACAAGCTTTCGTGGAATGTTTTGTTGAACTAAGTGGGCAAAACTTACCTTCATTCATGGATACCTTCACAAGAAAGTTGCACAGGTACTTTAGCAACTGATAATTAGATGTTGGAAGCTTCTCAAGCAGTGCCTTGATTTCAGGTAAACCACCCCTGTTGCCTTTGTGAGCTAAAAATGGCAATTGAAAAAAGTAATACAATACAGTTAGCTTTTTCAACAAGATTAAAAAAAATACATCTTGGGACATCTTACTTAAGACTACTGCACACTAGCTGATTTTTTGTTGTAGAACTGCAGATTTTTTGTCAGGGTAAAAACTTGCCGGGCCATCACCTTGTCGCACACTAGCCAATTTTTTGTTGCGACTAACCGCGTTGAGGCTTGGGGCAAAGTCATCCAAAATCAAGAGGGCACCTATTCCACTGACATTACTCTCATGACATTTCCTAACTGGCTGAGGTGTGCGCGAGCACCGAAAAATTGTCTTAGTTCACTGCACACTAGCTGACAAGGCCCAACAAGGCCCGACAAGACGTTTGGAGATCTAGCACTGTCAGATATCACCCATCAAGCCCTGATCTTGTCGCAGACTTGTCTGAATTCACTACACACTAGCTGACAAGTGTGCTGTGGCCTTTATACTAGGAAAACAAGAAATGGAAGTGACAAAGTAAATAGAGCAGAAATGGGAGCAAAAAGGTGATGTATGATATTGCCAAACACCTGAGAAGTTGTGTTCGTGATTGAGTTAGAAAGGACAATAATTATTATTTTGTATCTGCTCTGACTGGTTGGTTCAGAAAGATTACATGGAAAAGAGGTTCTTCAAGCTCAAGTCGTGGTTGGCATAAATCCTATGTTACATGGTCCAGGTTTCTGTCATCAGATAATTTTATGCTGTACATGTATAATTCATTCTTAGCCTGCCCTACCTTGATGTATCTTGATAAAGTCCGCTGTCATACTCTGAGGGATGGGAGGGTCAGGTAGTTCTCTCTACAAACATAAAATATATCATGACATTAGCAGAGTTACTGACCATTGTTTTGGTCATGTTCAATAGACTTGGCTCTGTACTACCAGTAATGAACTAAGTTTGCTAGTACATGCCTGACGAAACCAGCTTGAACTGTCTGCCATTGAGAAGTGTCTACATTGAAGTAGGGAGAGGGATCAAATTTACATTGTATGTTTTACGTAAGAGAGAAATCTGCTCGACACTATTTAATTTGTAATAATTCTATGTACACTAATATTATTTAGTGTTCACAAGATAAACCCCATTTCACTAGCTAGCGTACATGTAAGTGTCGTTATAAAAATGTGCAGAGCCTTGCATGTCTAAAAAAATTTGAAATTTGAAATCTCAGAATTATTTTAATCAAATTTTGACATGGTGTTTTTATTTTAATAATTGTCACAGAAATGTGCTAATTTGCTAACTATACAGTAGTCCAAACATTCCTAAGTGACATACATGACATGAACTGTATTAGGTAATTTCAAATTTGTCCTGACTAATCTTTACTAGAGGAAATACCTGAACATACACTGCATACACTGCACATGTACAGGGTACATGTAAAATTGATAAATTACTACTAAGTCAGCTACATTTGTACATTGTACTAAACTGCTAAGGTTCAACAGTTGGTGAAAGTGCTCAAAAGCAACTGCAGGCCAGCCTGCAGAACAGGCGGATTAGTGGGGCAGTGAGTGAGACGAGATACACCAGCGTGGAGTGCGACTACGAGCATGAAGCACAAGACGAAAAAATCCGCCTGTAGTCACACCATTGTTTATGCTTTACCGCCCCCTTGAAATAATTGGCATATAAGAATGAGAGAGAACAATAATAATTCAATTTATCGGCCCGAAAAAATGTCTCAAGTAACCAATTTACCAATGTATACATGACGCAAAACAGTCAACAGACTGAACATCTAAATTTAGCTAAATTTCAATCATGTATAAACCTAAACATCACACAGAAGGAGATGAAAAGCTCGAACAAATTCAGGATGAAAGAAACATAACTTTGACGACACAGAACGGATCTCTAAGATTTTCGATGTAACACTACAGCAGTCTCTGGTGATGCTGGACAAAGCTAAACTATGATCCGTGGTATTAAATAAACAAGCCACATAACTTAATAACACAGTTTTAATCTAACAACCAGGCCTGGAATGCAAGTAATCAACATAATAACCAACTTTGTTCCTCCAGAGTGAATAATTTAAAAGAGATACAACATACGTTTCTGCAAGAGAAATGAGGCAAGCCAAACCACACTCGGCACATGGCAAATTACAGAGGTGTCAAACTCTACAAAGCAATAGATAACAGCTGAAACCATGCAGAGCTTTGACCTCTAACAGTCCAACGGTTCTACTTTACTTTTAAAAAAGTCCCCCTGATAACACAACAACATTAAGTACCCTACAGAAACAAGTGAGGACCAAAATAAAAGGTCAGGAGGCTGGCATTTATAAGAGAATGGCAAATGTAGAAATGTCATGAGCTGTAGGAGTCCGTGTAGGACCGTCACCCAATTTAACACATGTTTTTTCTCACGTTCTGACGTCACATGGCTTAAGGCAGCCAATCAGCAAAAACCATTCGCCAGGCGAATCGTTGGAAGAGCATAAACAATGGTGTGACTACAGGCAGATTTTTTCGTTACTTTGTGAATTGTTTCCACTACAGGCAAGTTCAGCCTAACATCGTGGGCATGTCAACAACACTTAGCAATCACAGATCCACCTTGCTAGAATACTACATAATTGAATATTGAACACTTGATAATTTCTTCTTACCAAAAAAAGTTTAAGCAAGCCTGCTACAGCCATTACATCTCCCTTTTGTTCCAAGTTTGCTTCACCATCTAAAAAAAGAGAATAATTATCAGTAATACACCAAAACCAGCATGTTCATTATAGATACCCAGATATACTCAACCATCACATCACAATGTTAATGTGATTTTAAATATTTAAGTTGGCAGCTAGCTTTATTTAATTCCAGGATCCACCTGGAATGTGTTATTGAAAGTCTTCAGTTTACATTGTATTATTTTTTAAGAAAACAATTTATAAAATTTATAACTGATAAGTATTCAAAGTGACATTACCTTTGTCGTATGTCGCCTTCAGTGATTCAACCACTTTATGATTACCACTTATACGGAAAATTCCCTCATGACTCATACCTAAGAAATAAAAACCAAAATTGAACAAGTTTGTAAACATTACAGCTAACTACATAATAATAACATTACTTCAAATTTAATCTTCAACTGAAAAACTTCGAAAGAACATTTTCTGACAGCTTGAATGAACATGTAAGCTTAGAGTGCAAATTTCTCCTGTCTATTCAAGTATAGGTCAGTTACAACTTGAGGCTAAAATGGGAAGCTGCAGTATATTGTGAAAGGCTGTAAGTTATTCAATCTAGAGAATACTCTTTTACCACCACAGGGGTTCTTAGCAGAGGGGTGGGCATAGGAAAAAGGTTGAAGAGTAAATACCTGAGACTGATGTCCACCAGTACACTCACTCACTTCTTATACATGTAACTAGACAAGATCACCACCAGGCTTCAAAGTTTCAACACAAAAATTTTCTTCTTACCGGTATATAGTGTATAGGTTAAGTGTTACCTGAGGAATTTGGGAATGCCAAGGTGCTGAAATATACTTTTATTCACAGCTTCACAAAACCTATATACAACAAGTTACTGAATGTACATGCAAGTTGTGAACTGACTTTGAAACCAGGATGCCTTTTGTTCAAGACAATGATAATTATAGGCAATGAAACAACGTTTAGTAGCACCAACCATGTTTTGCAAGGTATTCCACTATGTTGGTGATGATGGGTGGCACTTCACATCCTTCAGACCTTCTCAGTAATTCATCAATAGAAACTCCAAATGTTTTGTTGGTCATTACTGTCACACCTTGAAGTATTGAGAAAGGAAAGCACTTTACTTAACATTTAAAAAAAATTGCTCAACCACAGCAAACAAATAGGTTACCTGAAATGCATGTACATGCTACACTATAATTCAATACATGCTTGTCAGGACAATCAGTCTTATTTTGGTCTAAATTATGCCTGATATATTTTATCTCAGTCTATCTTCACGGAAAGATGTTAATACAATGATGATTTCCCATAGCTTCCAGAAAATTGTACAGATCTATAGATCTTTATTCGTATTTCTTTTGAGGGAAAGATCATGTACATAATTATATCTATCTTTGTGCTTAGAAATTATGTGTTATAACATTGGCATTGATCAGTCCTGGATGGTTGTTAGTAATTAGAATACTAAATGATTATTTGATCACTAATAGATGGTTATCTGAGATAATTACCAAAAACATCCATCCCTATGCCAGGTTAGAGACAAAGGACATTTCACAAATTAAACTGCCATGTTATTCCATGTCTCCTGTTTTTGTGATGCACTGTGATCAAACTAAATATAGAAAGCTTACCGCCACTCAGGTTTCTTCTTTTTACAAGAGGTGAGCTTATTTTCTTTTTCATTTTCGCTATTTTTGACTCTGAAGTCTGCGGCACAGAGAGCTGATCTGAACCCTTGAATCAAAAACAATTCAGGATTAAAAGGTTGACGAAACTTCCACCATATCTATAAACATCTTATATAAAAGCGATTTATGTAATCCTCATGATATTGGCAGCGCATGACCTGGAGTTTGCGAAACCTACGTTGTTGATACATGTACATTTCAAAGTGAGTGGAATATTTATTTATGCATGGAATATTTATTTATATGAAAAGGAAGTCTTAAGGTGTATGTACATCCATCATTGAGGTAATTTTTATTGTACTGGGGAAACATAAATTTCTACCCCAAAATTAGATCTGATTTACAATTGAATAAATATTTTATATGGGAACTTTATATTTATACAGAAAAAAAATACCCACTAAATAAGTATTTTTGTACTGTCACTGTTATAAATATTTCTGTAAAAAAAAAAAAAAACCTGTAATAATTGTTTTTGCACTGTAATAAATATTTTCACACTGCAATTAATAGTTTTTTACTGTCATAAATATGTTTGCATGGCATGTATGGGCGATTGCAAGCATGTTAATGCAAACTCTTTTGTCAAAACACATCACTCACCTTCTTGGTCACACCTCTTAAATAGATTATTGAAGATTTATTTATCGTATCTATAAAATAAAATTCTTGATCTTGATTGGTTCTCCGCACGCCTATTTGCCGCGTAATCGGTGAATGATCATAAGGGTGTCCAATTACAGGTATCCAATTTGAACTTTTTGTAAAAATTTGGACACCTGTAATTGGAAACCTACGTGATTCACAGGTCAATTGCACACGCTTTAATGGCTTTCTTTGCAATGTTTCCTACAGTTTTCAAAACTCATGAAATGCGCCACATATGTTTTTGCTCAAAAGAAGTTCTCAAAAGACATTTTTAATTCTGAAATTTGCTATAGATACGATTAATTAGTAATTGGACCTTGCATCATACAATTCAGCGATTAATCGTGCTTGTAATTTCAAATAGGCCTCGCCCTTCGCGCTTGTCCAATTTTGAAATTGCTTGTGTGATAACTCCCTGAATTGTACTCCACTCGGTCCAATTACTATTACTAATAGGTAATCAAACCCACCCAACGCACACCCACTACCACACCCACAACAAATTGTTTCAAACTGTACCAAAATATAAATAATTTTAGGCTCACAAATGGCTGGAATAGCAATCTTGAAAGATTACACTTCAAAATTTCAAATTGATTTGTATTCCATTGTGAACAGGAAAGTCTGATGTCTGATTACAAGATAACTGACATAAACCAGACAGTTCATTAACACAAAGCCATTACTAACCGCAATCAATGAGGAAGAAACAAATCTGTTCCGATAATTAAATTAATGTATTAAGAAGCAAAATTAAGAAGAATGCAAAACCCTTGTATAATGTATTACTGGTAGCCAGCTCAACACCCACCAAATCTTACATGTCAAAGTACCACTACAACTGAATAGAAACTGAAAGAGTAATAAAAAAATAAAATCTGGAAATAATGTTCCGGCCAACCTTACTCAGCAAAAGGGTTAGTTTTATTTTTCCACTTAAGCTTTATCGCCAGGCACGTAGCCTTAATTCTCACGAGTGATCGCGGAATCTCAGATCTTACCTGTTGGCTTCTGACGGAAACGCTCGACTCGGAAGCACATATCAGCATCGGACGAATTGCCTGGGAGAGACCTGTTTCTAAGCTATGCTGTCGATTGACCCCTCCGTCTCTCTGACTCATAGATCCGTGCTTTGTAAGTCACATTCAGAGTTTATATCTTATGTCCCGTAAAATAAACAGCGCACAGAACCTACTACAGCAACCATACACTTCGCAAGCCACTTCGCTTCACGACCAAAAAAAAATCGTCGTACCAGAATAAAGTTTCCTTAGAGCTCACTCCCCATGGTGTGCAGAATTGTCTTTGAACGTTAACAAAACCAGGTGGATTTTACGACACAAAACCATTACATGTTTCTCCCGAACTGTTTGAAACTGGCATGATCCCGCGCGATTTGTAGAGCAGGTACAGATGAAATTTTAATAAAACAGTCCGAAGTAAATACCAGTCGTTTGCTGTGATGATTTTCCACCTAAACAGAACATAGGTAAAGTTAAGCCAGTCATAAACTAAAAACACAACTTCGCTTTCTGTATTTGTTTCCAACACAACGCCTTTGGCAATTTCCAAGGCAAACAAAAACTAACGAGATCTCAGACGTTCGGGGTTTAGATTTCATAGTTTATAGTAACAGAGACTCAAAACAGTACACAGAATGCCTTGTAACAACTGATAAATTAGCTGAGGCACTTACGACGATCAAAGTCAAAGAATTCATTTATACTATACCTTGTTGAAAAAGACTTTCTAAGAGCTGCAGTGTTAGAAAAGTAAATAATGAATAACAATGAATTTTCCCTCTAAAAGGACCAAAAATGTCACCGGATATTCACTCAGTCCGTTGCCATCCCACGCTACCAGCACAATATAGCTGCACTTCTAGGTTTTCTTTGCTCGAGTCTATCACTCTCAGGTTTTGATTAAGAAGTACAGGTACTTGTATATCACTTATTCCCAAATACAGCCTGAAAAACCCGCGATATTCGACTGGACCTAACCCGCCACTCAATTTCTTTAGATCAACTATCAAGCTTGTTTTGCTCAAAATTTGCGTGTAAATACAAGCACATGTCACAATAGCCAATCACAAAACGCGATTTCAGTCACATGACAATATCCCGTGGATCAGCGCGGTCAATTTTTTAAAAATGGAAGTGAAAGTTTCGTGGGAATTTTCAAAATAATTGAAATGAAAGACTGTAAAAGAGGAATCATGGTATTTTATAATGTGGTTCTGTTTTGTATTCTTTCACCAAAGCAATGATGTCTCTTCAGTGAGATATTCCTTTATTATTTATTGCTACGTAAAAAATTAGCTTCTGTTACTTTTAGAAGCTAAAAATGAATTCAAGGTTACTGTCTTTAACTTAAGATAATCGTCACCTGAATTGAGATTTGTTTACATAATTGAAAGTCGTTTCATTATCACTGTTATGGAAATTTATGCAGGACAAACTAAAACCCTCCTCCTTCCTTGGCCAATTTAATTTCTGAGAACGAAAGACACGAAACGTTCTTTTTTTTTTTTTTTCGGAAGGAACCCTGATTTTTCTTGCCTCGGATAATCGCGGTCCGATAGTCTCTCGTTCGTCCATTTGATTTCCTCCTGACCCTTTTGGCCTGGGTTTCCGAGGATCCCGGGCCGAGGATGCGGTTTTTCGAGCCTTGTTTACCTGAACCTCCAATTAATTCAAGGGATTTATTGCTCTCTTCCTTCCAAAAAAAACTTCTTAACCCTCAATTTTTTTCGAAGGGGTTTTGTAAGCTCTTGTAGCTTTTTGTGAGACTTGTAGCTTCTTGCGAGACCCTCGACGAGCAGTGTTTCGACGTAGTTATACCACATACCTACCTTTTGGCTGTCTCAACCGCTGAACATAGAGAACAAGGGCTTCTAAAACAGAAACGCGTGCTTTAGACTTTTGGCGCTTGCGTAATGTTCATCTTACAACACGCAACGTCATTTCCGGATTTTTGTCTCAGCGGCATTCGCGGCAGTTCAGAGAAGTTCCCGTTAACATTTCGGAAATTAGTTGTTGTTGTTCACGGATATCGGAATAATGGCTCAAGTCAACAACTCCCGATTGCGAGATACACAAGCAGTAAGTATTATACTTTGACTGTCTTCATCCTTTTGTACTTTTAAGGATTCCTTTTGCCTTGTGTGACAGTGAATTCGAAAAGCCCAACCGGCAAGTTTGTTTGTTTGGGCAGCTTGGTGGATTTCGTCGAGCTCTCGAACAGAAATTTTTTTTCTCAGACAAAAGGTACAAAATTCCTAACTAATGTCAGCTTGTGCCTTGAATAAGCGACAAGGCGATTGTAAGAGCAGGGTTTCAGTGTGGCTCGTAGCACGACTAACGTTTACGTTGGCATACTGTTAATGAGCATAATAAAACTCGTAGTTTACGACAGTGTAGGATAAAATCACGCACTTGAAACAACTATTGTCTCAATTAACTCACGTAAACTTTGCTAGTAGAAAGCTGAAATCGCTGAAACCTCGTTAATGCAATTTACGAAGTGCTGATACATTTCTTACAGGCTCACATGTATGTTACTTACAACTGTATATTGCTTTATTTACTCACTGCGTTACAACTACGTGTTGAAGTATGATGCTGTCGTTGAAATTCTCAGTAAAAAAAGGAACACAGTTGGTGGTGTTTTTTTTTTTTTTAAACCATATCACTTTATTTGCTACATGTACAGCAGGGAAATACTATATCGACTGGAAAGATTTTAGCTGATCCTTATCAGTTTCGAGAAATTTTTTTTCAAATCATCCCAATTGTAATTTTTTTCTCTCACTCCAATGCAGTAGTCATACCTAACAACTTTATTTACTTGTGGACTTAAGACAATTTCCTTTAACGGGATTACTCTTAATCCTTCAAGAAATGAAGGTGAACTTAACAGCTTTTACACAGCTGTAGCAGTGAACATGATCTTAGATTTCTGATTTCTAGTATTCATGTAGATCTCACCATAATAATTATTAGTTTCTTTTTGTGGAGTCAAATCTCTTGAGTGCACCTTTTTAAAATCAAGCAAGATTTAAAAAGCAACTTGTTGGGAAGGCAGGCAATAATTAAAATAAACTTAAAAATTATACTTGCAATCTGTTGAGAGCCTTTACCAGTATGATAATAACCCAGGCAGATAGTATCTTGAGTGGGTGTTAAGTTGAATTAAATTAATGCAATTTGGTGGTTGTATTGGTTGCTGGAAAATAAATGCACAAAATGTTGATTTTTTTTTTTTCAAGCTTATTTTCTAACTCGGTCATGTGAAGTGCTTTAAACAGGTTGCCTACATGTAGACTGGTATTTCCTGAAACGTGTAATTGAAGTTGGCGGAAATTGTTTATTATAAAAATTAACCCAAAGACTAAATTAAATGTATTAAGGGCAGTTATGAAAAGCAAATATGATATGCATTTGAATACTGTGAAAGTTAACGAAGGAAAAATCTGATTTGTGGTTATGCACCAAAAGAGTACACTTGTGATAAGATAGTTAATTAAATTTAAATACATTCTGAGCTCAATCTTCATTCCTGGTACCCCCAATATATGCTTGAAAGATGAAATTTGTCAACAGAAATGGGCATCTTTAGCAGCCTTTTCTCAACACAAAAACTGCTGCAAAGCTTTTTGTAGTCTGAAATTATAATACCATTGTATAGCAAGCAGGTGAAAACTACGAATGGAGACGTGGGTTTGCATCCCACTTCTGACACCAAGTCTAGAGGCCAGTACTTCATGAAGCAGGGGAACTATACTTTATTCGCTACGCGATCTAACATGGCGGACTGCAACAACGTGCTCTCAACAATCATATGGGAAACCGCTGACCAACAAAACTTCTCTGTATAGAAAATAGTATTGTGAGCAGTGACCTAGATGGTGCCATTTGGTCGTCATGGCCTGTTCATAGAGTATCAGAATTTTTTCATCTAAGATTTCAAGTTCCTCTCTCAAAGAATCAGGCTTATTTCTGTTTTGCTTATAAGATGTTGATTAGTTCTATGTTATAAACAAAAGTGTTTTAAAATTCTGTAACAAGGGTAGTTACACTGATGTGATACACTGTACATGTGTATGTACTGTTAATAGTTAGTATTGCCTGTGACAATTATTCAGGGGTGGTGAATGGTATAACTGTGAGACTTTCCAAGAAGGCGAGGTAGGGGTTTTCTTTGGGAGTTCCAAGACATTTCCACATTTTAAATTGTGAGACCAAGACTTAAAAGACAAGTGTTTTAAATGTGACCTTGAGATGTTCAGACTCTAAGAGGTTCTGATCTCATTTGTCATGAATAAAAAAACAAAAAACAAAAGACTTTAAGACTTTCATAGCCTTGCAAACAATTGTGACTCCATTACACAACTTCATGAAAAAAATCCAGGCTGCAAGATGCACATAACTGCTAAAAAAAAANCCCCCCCCCCAAAAAAAAAGACATCGAAATCTGTGAATTGCAATGAAAATTTGTGAGACCCAAGGTTTTGGAAGGACCATTCACCACCCCTACAGTGTACATTAGTTGCTTCATGTACAATATCTTAAAGCATTGCTTTGATTCTCAGTGATGTTACTGGACTCCCTGGAGTCACTGGACTCCAAAGTCACATTTTGATAAGTTGAATTAATTTCATCTGGAGCTATGTAAACGCATGCACAGTTGGCACTTTTTTAATTGGAGCTAAAATCAAATGGCGTGTCATTATATTGTTTTTAAATTTTTGGCTGTATGTACATGTAGACTATCTTAACCTAACCTGTCCAAATTACCGGTAATAGTAAAAGATATCTCTTTGATCTTACAGGGGTATACGGTAAATCTCAAGTCACTTGTGAGATTTTTCATAGTGACTAGTGTGCGCATATGTGTATTTGAATGTTTATAGTTGGGATATTGTTGGGTCAGGCAAGCAAGGACACTTTTGCTTTGGTTTTACTAATCAAGCATCTGTAAAAAAGGCTTCCTGGAATTTAATACCTTATTACATGAAATTTTCAAGACATGGTAATTTCACGAATTTCGTGATTTAAAAAAATTGTGAAATTAAAGTGACGCGAACAATAAGTGTCGCGAACATAACGCAATGTGAAAATTAAGCGACTCACATTGTTCACCGTTGTGTTTTTGTTAACAGGCCATTTTGCTAATGCAAATATTTCCTAGTTCCAATCCCTTGTGGGAGCAAGAAGTGATCACGGCCAAAAATGGCCTCATTCATTCATGAAATACATGTAGATAAAATTTTACCCCCACAAAGGACTGGAACTAGCATTAGCAAAATGGTGTATTTTGACTTTATTGTTCCTTTGATAAAGTCGGTTTACTAAACTCGAGGACATGTTTAAGTCACATTGCTAAGGAAAGAAATTGTGTGTTACTCGAAAAAGCGAAGTTAAAGTGATTCAAAATCGCGGAATTTAGGTGTCGAGAAATAGGCGCACCTCAAAATTGCGAAATAAACGAGATTAAAGTGATTCAAAATCGCGGAATTTAGGTGTCGCGAAATATGCGCACCTCAAAATCGCGAAATAAACGAAGTCGTGATCCAAAATCGCGGAAGTTACAAATGTAGGTGTCGCGAAATATGCGCACCTCAAAATCGCGAAATGTGTAACTTAGCGCAATGGAAGGTCGATCGTGGATATGATATGATTTTTCACAGCACTGGTAAGCTTATTTTCCCAACCTCGACAGTGCTCTTGATGTCCTTGATGGAGTGTGACACATGACGTATCGCTGTAGGCGCTTTACATTTCAAATCCTGGAAACTTCGTCTGGATATATCATCTTTGTGTCACTATTGTAGCTTTCGTGACTAGATCAAGAAGCAATGCAAAAGTCTGCAGGCTGAAGACAACTCATGATAACTCATGTTGCTCGATAAATGGTAGGAAGACGGGTTTCGCTCGTGAATCGACAGGTGATTCTGTAGCGTCGGTAGCCATTCCATAGCAGCTTCAATCATTCTTTATGTTATGAAAATGTTCGCGTGATTACGTGCGTTTGCGTGACAGAAGTGGAGTTTGATCGACCCAAAACCAAAAAAAAAAGTGAATACAAGATAATGAATTTGATAATTGAAATCGTCTGATCATGATTATTTCAGTGGAGGAGCTCATGTACGGATGATAATAAAAAAAATAGATAAATCGGGCAAGGCGGGGGGAGGGGGGGTGGGCGGAATCTGATATGAAAAGGTCGAGGATGCTCGTCTCGCTGAGGGGTGTACATCAACGATTTCGGTCTCACTTAGAGTGTTCATGACGAAACACCACTATTTTCAGCTGTCAAAGTATCTCTGAGGGTGCAGTCGAAGAGATATCAATTAAACAACGTATGTCCGTCCGGTCTTCTTGCCCAGATTGGTCTCCTTTAGGGGTTTAGTTCAAATTTTCCGACGAACATCCTTAACTTTTTGATATGGGAGTCCCCCCGGGGGATGAATTAATCAAATGACGCGCGAATTGTCATTTTGACGCGCACATGGACTTATTGCTATTGGTGCACGACGTGCTTGCCTAAACGCTATACGATTCGAACGATTTTTAAATCCCGTCACAGCAGCGACCATGTTGAAGTGTGTAAATAAAGAATTTGTCTCATTTGGTGTCAATTTAACAGGGGATTATTTCCGGTCCGGAAATCTGCACCAGTACCAGCAACGTTCTCGGACCGTCGCCTTGCGTGACTCGGAGAGCGACGAAAATTTACAAACAGTCGAATAATCGATTGATCGTGTTTGTGGCGGCTGGCTTGAATGAAAATCAGAAGCGCTGTGTTGTTTCGCTTCTCTTCATCATGGTAATAAGTTTCTTTCATTTCCACTTTTTCACCTCTGTCTTAAACATTACCTACTTATTCATATATTTGCAGCAGTCCCTGCACTCTGTTTAGCTACTTTTCGTTCTTTGGGATTTATATTTTCCCGACAATTTAAACCAGTTTGACCTTTAGGCTTTTTAAGAAATATCGGATCTGATGGAAAGTGTTTAATTTTGTTTATTGCAGTCAAACGCGGAGAAAATATTGAGTTTATTTGCAGTGTCATCTCACTTTGTTTGTTTGTGATATAAAAGAAAACTCTTTGGCCTTAAGGGTTTACTTGTGACGTCACTGTGGCCATCTTGAAAAGCAATCAGCTAGACTCCTTTTATGGTTTTGATTTTCCACATTGCTCCCGGTGTGATTTTGTCCAACAGACCTTTCGCGGTTTTCATACGTGATCTTCATTCAGAGGCGAACTACATTGTAGGTGGTAATTGAACTCTGCTATCTATGTGGAAGATATGAAACAAGCTGTGAAATTATGTATTAAAGTTCTTTCAGCCACAACTAGTGCACTGATGCAAATCCTGCATTTTAATTGGCGACACTACTAGTAATAGTCCCCGAGTAGCGAAATTGGCGCAATCGAGCGTGACGCTTTCTTTCGTTGTATTCCCAAATAAATATTTCTTCAACTTGCATTTGCTAGACCCCTCAAGGGCCACGGGTCACTAGCCCATTCGGCTTCGCCTCATGGGCTATTGACCCGTAGCCCTTGCGGGTTACGGGTCTAATTGTTAATTAGCTATTAATACTACTCTTAAAACAGAAAAAAAATACTACATTAGGTAGTACTTGTGTGAATGTTATTAAAAGCTCCCTCATGTCACGCTATTTCTCAGAAACAATATACAGTTTCAGGGAGAATTTGTTTATATATGCTCTTAATTTCAGCAATGGGTGGATGGTGGCTTCGGTCTACAGAAGGCTGACATAGTCGTTTGCAATCCTTTTACCATTTTTGTGTTGTTTATCTACCTAAGAAAATTATTATTTCGAGATCCTTCAATTTGAAAGTAATTTCGTACATCAGAAATATGACTTGTAATTTCATGACATAGTTCCTTTCAGCTCAAGATATTGTAAGTTCAGAGTTTTATGTATTTCATAGTGTAATGTCGCTGCAGTTTCTGTCCAGACTAAACGGCGTTAGAAACTTGTATCAATTGGTTTTTGTGCGATAGCTTTAACATATTTAGCAGCAGCATATTTTATAGTGAATTGTTTACGAAGTTGAATGGTATAAAGGACCCTGTGGAGTCGGACTTGTAATAAAGAAATCGCGCGTTGAAATTAAAAAAAAAGATTTGATGTTACGTAGCTGCGAAGCGTATATAAATGGCTTAACTTCAGAGCTCTGACTTCCTCTCTTTTTGGCTTGAAGTTCAGTGAAAATACAGCGATTAAGCATGACAGCAGCGAAAAGCTGGTTTCATCCGTGTACGGTTTCGAAACAACACATCTTTCCCTGCGGCGACTTGATGGTTTTTTTAAAGAAAGAGAGAGAGCGCCGTTTTCATTCAGTCCAGCTGTGATCAGACTCTAATTTCTGCTCAAAATGCAATACATTATGTATAACCCAGCGCTCAGACCATGAGAACAAACGAATTCATCATTGAAAGCAGAAATGTGTTGATCAGGAATAAAATTCTTCCAGTTATATTTGTAATGAACGTATTGGGAGGCGTAATGAGAATTTGACTGTTGATATCAGCCGTTGTAGGCTTCAGGGCTTCAAGAAGAGAGAGGATGTATGAAGCTCCATTTGAAATTTTTTTAAACACGACTTAGAGATCATTTTTGGTCAGCTTGGGAATAATTTTGTCACCTATAAGAAATATTTGTTTGATTATATGTAAAATATTTGTATTGGCTTTAAACAAGCACCACATTAATTGTTAGACCACGAAATAAATCAATTCATGTACATTTCTAGGTTTAAGTGCAGTGTATATGTCTAAATCTCCTTCAGTATTTTTTCAGACTTGATTGTGAGTGTAAAGTAATTTTATATGTAGATTCTTTGGGAGCTGTTCATCTAAACTCGCTGAAGGTAAAATTCTATTGAATTTGACTCGTGGCAAAATGGAAATTATACACAAAAACATTAGTTCAGTGCTCAGCCATTCAGCGGGCTGCCCGCGATGATGTATTGTTGGCACATTCTTGAAGCGAATTCACCGTTGCTATTGCAACGTTGTGTTTCACGTAACCGGTCTATAAATCATCAAATAAGAGCAACGCTTCTTTCGTTGCGGTTGAAAAATTGCTCAATAACGGTCAAGAAAAGGCTGAAATATGGCTTGCGCTGGAAATCATCAGCGATTGTCTACGGTATGGCGTCGCAAGATTTAATTTCTCGGCGCTTCTTTCGGAAGTGTTTCGATTATTTCGCTCGTTTTTCGCGCGCGCGTTTTAACAAGAACGAAAGTTCAGTCGTTGAAAACGTTGCTTTCTTGTTCCTTGTAGAATGTTGTTAAAGCTACAAACGTCTTCTACAAAGAGCACAATGTTACTCGAGACAAGCGAGGACAAGTTGTTGGCACGAGGGGTGGCTTTCGAGGATGTACAGTTTGGTTCACCGGTAAGAAATCTTGTTTTCAAAGAAAACGCATGAAAGGGACTTAACCTTGTGTTTGCGAAAATTGTCTTGCAAGCAAGATTATGGAATGTCTTTTTGATCAAACGCTGTCTTCACGTCAAAATAACTTGATTGATCACTTGATGTGTACAGTTTTACAATTTCCTTTAACCTCTAACTTCCATTTACTTTAAAAACACCGAATACCGAACACCGATTGTACCCCTCGATGAAAAGTCCCAGTTCATATTGGGCTGCGTGCATGCATTTATTTCAGTGGCCCAATTCCGAACTTTTTGCCATTTTCAGTTATTTCTTTGTCTAAACTTTACCGTAGACTTTTCTATAGCAGTTAACTCTTTCTTTTAACCAATGTCGAATTTCTCGTAGGCCTTTCTGGTGCGGGAAAAACCACAATCAGTATGGCGTTAGAAGATTACCTGTGTCGACAAGGTATTCCTTCCTACACACTGGATGGCGACAACATGAGGACAGGGCTTAATCGAAACTTAAGTTTCACGCCCGAGGACCGCGAGGAGAATATCCGCCGTGTTAGCGAAGTCGCCAAGCTGTTTGCAGACTCCGGCATGATCTGTCTTACAGCCTTTATCAGCCCTTATGCACGGGTACGATACTGGAATTATTTACTGTCACTTTCACACCAACTTTTCACCTCGTTTGTGCGATCCAATACTTTACTAGAAATTTGCTGTCGAAAAACCTTAACCCTTTCTTACTAAAAAAAAAAACAATTGTAGTTCGCGAATTATTAAAATATAAAGCTGCACCACATTAAAGTGCCATTCATTAAGTTTTATTTGATTGGTTACATAAGAGTTTGACAGATTTGAATATTAAACGTTTTAGTAGAACTTCGAAGGAGTTCTGGGCCTATAAAAACCCTCGTTAGCGTTCCGTTTTAAAACACCGCAAAAATCATCGCAAACAACCTGTAGAAATCGATGTAAAAGCTTATAAAATATGCTTTCCCTTAACAACTGTTTGGCTCTGATTTTATCTCAGGGAGTGAAGGTCTTTGTTTCATGTTTTTAACCTTGTAAGCTTATCTGTTTGATTGTTTGTCCAGAAAACTTCAAAAATTGTACTGTCATCTTAACAGTATTTTATATGTTTATTTTAACGAGAGAGTAAGGTTATATTTTGTTGCAGTTATTATTAAACAGGTTTGGGAAATATAGAAAGCGCACCAATACCTTTATGCCAGTCCACTTGCTGATCAATTTTTAATGTGCAATGTAGAACAATATTAAAGTTGTGTTTCCATGATTCACAATCGTTTCTAAAATTACTTAAAACATTGTTTGCACAAGAGAATGAGGAATTGGCGATTTTCTGTGAACCGTTCACACCAGCTAATTACTTTGTTTCCCTCGAGTTCGTTGGCAATGTCTTTAGAATAAGACTGCAATTACTTTGGAGTTACTTCCACACCACTTCAATGTATTATATGTATTTCTCACTCTTAAAAACAATGCTTAGTCAAGCCTGCTTTTTTCGGTGAAATTATTGGAGAGGTCTTCACGAATTGATTGGTTGTTTGATTGGCTCTCTTTGTTCAGCTGTATAAACTTAAAACACAAACTTAATTGTTGTCTATTTTATCCTAAAGACAAAAACTCCTGTTTTTACGTTTTATTCATTTCTAATGCAAAATAACCGTAGACGCAGAAAGTTAGCTTTATTTATTGTAGGAGAGGGTTTTAAATTTGTGACCCAAATTTAAACTCTCTTTGACGATAGCCATACATGTATTTGAAGTTGGTTCTGAGAACTGATGTGACATCCAGACAGTGTCCTTTGTCGATAGTTTTTCGCTTTCTCGTCATCTTTCTTTGGAAATTTAGGGGTGTAGTGTACATACCCTTTTCACAGAGTTCGCAATGAAGAGAAGGATAAATTGAACGCCGAAGGCGCGAGCCGCTTATTAGGTTTTGGGGGCATGCCCTCCCCCCTCCCCCGCCATTCCCAAGAAATGAATTTTTAGAGGCTCTGAAATCCCATTTCCCTCACTTTCCAAGGAACAGTTTCATAACTCAAAACATGGAAACTTTTGTTGTTTATGTGTCCACCTTTGGGATAATTGATAGTAGGTTTAATATGAGAGACTAGAAACTGTCAAACCAGCCGATTTAACTTATTAAAGACGATTTTCGCAAAAATATACTTCACAATATACTTCACGTGCGTGCGTGCGTTTATGGTCGTTGAACTGTTGTTGTGAGGAGAATTTCGCTGATGATCACTCTGCGCACGCGTTCCGGAGAGGTTTTTACGTGGCATTGCTACGTGTTAACATTGTCATGCAAATTCGAAACGCAGTTGAGTTTAATTCAGAACAAGAAGTTGACGGTTTTGCGGTGCTAAGATCGAAATTACCATAAAAGTCGAAAACATGATACCAGCAACACGATGTGAAACTAAATGGTTAACAATTAAAACAAAGGACATAATTTTGACTGTTTCTCTTTTAAAGTATAAAACTGAAAGAGTGCTCTCGTGTGATTTCTATCATGACTCGCTTCAGTTTCCTTTACTGGACAATTATTGTTCTCCAACTTATTTTGTCTTTTCTCGAATTGGTGTGAGTCAGTAAAATTAGTTCGAAACTGCCACTTTGAAACTCCATGTGACATTCTTTTTTCTAGCCTCTTGCAAGCTTGTAGTTGACAAACGTTGCTACGCAAACGACGTATGTTTTTCAATTACCACGTCGGTCGCTCCATTGCCTTCAAAAAGAAAAGAAAAGCAAATGTTAAGCAAAACCCGACCGTTATAACCGAGCTCTTATGCACAAGGTCTTTGAGTAAAGGATAGAGCGCTTTCCTTCCGCCAGTGTGACTCGGTTCCATGGCGGCCTTGTGCCATATGTGGATTGAGTTTGTTGTTGGTTCTCGCCTTGCTCCGAAGGTTTTCCTTCGGGTACTCCAGTTATCCATCCTCCATCCTCCATCATTTCCAAGTTGCAATTCGACCTGGTTACATCACCGCCTGGAAATCAGCTAGAACTGACGTGGCTTCCTCTCTCACAGTTACACATTTAAACAACCCTCTTCACAGACACTTGTAAAACGCACAGAAGTGGCCTCCATTTTGTTAAGAACCGCCCACTGCTAAGCTACTCACTGTTTAAAACAGAATATATTTAAACAATAGAGTGTTTCTGTCGAGGAACTATCGGTCTGATAGTTGCCCCGCGGAAATTTGATGCTCTTGAAACAAATATTTGCCCGAGAGGCGAAGCGTCGAGGGCAAATATGCTAGCTTTAAGGACATCAAATTTCCAAGGAGCAACTATCAGACCGATAGTTCCGAGACATAAACACTCTACTGTCTTTATTGTTCATTCTCTTCCGCCCGCCAGCTCAAAAATCATGTTAAATTATTTTCAACTTTTTTAGATGAAAGACGTGAAAGCCAAATTTGAAATTTAAAAAAGAAAACAGACATCTTGCGTCTTTCAATTTTTTTTTCTATAAACTCGCTTGTTTACAGGAAACTCTTTTTATGGACGAGTACTATCTGTCCTGGTATTTTCATCGGACAGGCACTATGGGCAGACAGATCGGGCAGACAGTGTCTACACTATCGCGTCACGTGATCTGTTTAAACCAATAATAATCGGAGTAAATTTAGTAGTGAACAATAAGGTTGACAAACTAATCTTTCAACTAACCCAATACTTTTCTGTTTTGATTTACAGGATCGTGAAAGAGCTCGTAAACTGCATGAGAAAGCAGGACTGCCATTTTTTGAGATTTTTGTGGACACTCCTTTGGAAACATGTGAACAAAGAGATGTCAAGGGACTGTACAAGAAAGCCAGGGAAGGACTCATCAAAGGTCTTTCAAACACTTCTTAATTTCTTTAATGTGTTACCCTTGCAGCTCTTTAGAGATTTCTACTATTTTTACTGATGTGAAGTTCATATGAAATAATTCATATATGAACTGCGGTTGTAGATGAAAGTGAAGGATGATCATCGCAGTAGTTTTTCCAATTTAAGCAATTGGAAAGAAGAAGCCTGAAAAAATCAGGGCTTCAACGGGATTCGAACCCGTGACCTCCGCGATACCGGTGCGATGCTCTACCAACTGAGCTATGAAGCCACACATTGGGAGCGAGGTCAATTAATTGAGT